TGGTCCTAGCTCGGCACAGCGTCCCTTCCACGGGTGTGGGCAGGGGGGGGACCGGCGGCCCTGCCCTTGTTCTGAGGATGCTGCTTTCCAAACCTGAAGACGGCCTGGAGGCCAGGACATCAGCTACTCCGCAGACGGCCTGGCCGCGGGTGAGCTGCATCTTCTGGCCTGTGCTGCCCTCTGCCCTGGTGGTCAGGAAGGACCGAGCAGGCCCGCAGGTGTCCAGTGCGGGAGGAAGCGGGCGCACGGTGTGTAGAGCTTTGGGCTTGGGCTTCTGAGCTCGCGTGGAAGAGCCGAAGCCCAGGCCCCGCAGTCTTCCCTGAGCATGGAGTGCAGGTCCTACCCCAGGGCGCAGCGCGTTCCTCTGGGTTCCTCCTTCAGCGCTCCAGTGGAGCCCTGGGGTCCGGAGGAAGCTGCTGTGCTCTATGCGGGGACAGCACAGGTCAGGGACGCAGGCCAGGTGTCCGGGCCACGGTGAAACCAGTTCGGCCAGGAATCCCTGTGCATCCCAGAGGAGCTCTGGAGGAGCTCTCGACAGGGCCGCAGGATGGTTAGGGCTATGTATGACAAAGGCTTTTCTAGTCCAAAGGGGTTGGGGGGGTCACTTAGGAGTATGATGCAGTTCGAATGTTTTATTTATTTTAAAGATAGGCTTTGTTTTTAAGAGAAGTGTTGGGCTCACAGTAAAATTGGGCAGAAAGCACTAATACGTTCTAGCACCACACACACTGCCCATCTGCCTTTGCGTTGCACCCCAGCAGGTGCCCAGGTTGCAGGAGACGAACCTGCCCTGACCTTCGTGATCGCCAAGCAGCCCATGCTGTGTTGCGCCTCCTGTGGGCTGGGCAGCTGTGTGATGACACACCCACCACGGCGGCCGCACCTCGTCTCTCTCCGCCTAACCCCTGACGCTGGGGGTAGATCTTTTTACACCATGATTCTATCTTCCCCAAAATCTCACACCATTGGATTCATACAAAATGTAGCCTTTCCAGATTGTCTTCTTTCACGTACTTAGTGATGTGCACTGAGGGCCGTCCCCCCACACTTCATGGCAAGCTAATTCATTTTGTTTTAGGGCTCAGTAATATTCCACTGTCTGTCCCTCAGTTTAATTACAGATTTAACTACGTAAGGACATCTTGGCTGCTTCCAAGTTTTGGCTATAACAAATCTGCTTTATGAACTGTGATAGAAAAATGTGTTTAAATAGGAAACTTTATTACAACAGAAGACATATTGCTATGAGACCCCCTCAGAATAGTCCCCTTGCATTGAACACACTTATCCCATGGTTCTTGCTGTTTCCTGCAGCAGCAGTTCTGGAAGTCTCTCTGAGTGTCTTTATCTGTGTTCTTCTGGCTGCCTCTTTGTCCTGAATGGATTACTTTTGATGTTCATTTTGACTTTGGGGATGAGCCCTAAGTCAAATGATGCCAGATACTATGAATGAGGTGAATGCGGACAAAGGGTCCTGTATTTAGGAGCCTGCTTTCCTATTGGATGGTAGTTGGCAGCAGCGTTTACTATATTTTTTATCACAAGTCACAGGTCAAAAAGACTCAGCAAAGAGAACTCGAGAACTTCTGCAGAGAGTGGCAAGTTGGGTTTGGTAGCACACACCTTTAATCCCAGCACTTGGGAGGCTGAGATAGGAGGATCACTGTGAGTTCAAGACCAGTCTGAATTACTTATCAAGACCCTGTCTCAAAAACAAAAACTCAAAACCAGAAAACTCAGGCAAGTAGCAAGAACATTGGAATGTTCATTGCAAGGGGAGGATTTTCACAAGGATTCATGGCAATGTGTTTTTTACTATAATACAGTTTTACCAATTTAAACATTGTTTTTGGTCACCCCATGCACACCCACGCATGAGTTTTGTGCAGATGTATTTCGGCTCCTTTAGTAAAATACCAGGTACATGGCTGCTGGGTCCTGCGGCAGCACACGTGCAGTTCTGTGAGAAACTGCCAGGCCACCCTGCCAAGTGCCTGCACATTTCGTGTTCCCTCTGTGTGCCAGGGAGGGAGCCAGACACCACACTGTGGATTGGGGTGGCTGTGTGGGGCGTTGAACTGTCTAGCCAGGCCTGGGTGTGAGTGCAGGCAGCTGGGATGCAGGGCCCTCTTGTTGCCTGGCTCCCTTGGTTTCAGGCTAGACCCTGGTGTCATCTCTGTGCCTGAGCAGGGCCCTATGTTTTAGGAGCCCGTGACCTTTGAGGATGTGGTGGTGACCTTCAGCCCAGACCAGTGGGCCAGCCTGGAGCCAGCACAGAGGGCATTGTACCGGAAAGTGATGCTGGAGAACTACGCCCACGTGGCCACCCTAGGTGAGGTCCTTGGGTCACTGCAGACTTGAGGGCCCCACAGGGACTTGTGCCATCCCTGAGCTGTGGGCGCGCTGGGCAGAGAAACTCCTGGTCCCCTGGGCTTTGGAGCTGGGCTTTGTTCTCCAGGTGGATGTGGTCCTGGGCCTGGATGGAGGTATCCTCGCAGGCCTCCCGGTGAACCCTCTTTCTCTCCAGTTTTGGGGCATTGTCCCTGCCCCTTGGAGAGTCTTCCAGGAGAGAGTCCAGCTTGCTGAGCCCCTCCACCCCCACACAGGACCTTGCATCTGGGGACCTCAGCTCAGTCTCCAGCGTTCTGCCTCCCCAGCCCAGCAGCAGCTGCAGGGGAGAAAGCGCAGGTCTCCTTCACCCCAACCCTTCTCTCCCGTAGCAGCATCTCCAGCCCACAAACCTGCGCTCATCCTCTGGCTGGAGCGGGGCAAGGCTCCCTGGGGCACTGAGGAACCGGAAGGCGGCCGGCCTGGTGAGTGAGCTAGTCCTGGTGCTCACTGTGGGGGACCCGAGCTCAGTACTCTTCTCCAGTGTGGAACTCAGCTCAGTACTGTCTTCTTCAGTACAGAACTCAGCCCAGTACTCTCTTCTCTAGTGTGGAACTCAGCTCAGTACTTTCTTCTCCAGTGTAGGAACTCAGCTCAGTACTCTCTCCTGCATTCTGGGGACTCAGCTCAATACTCTCCTGAGATCCCACCCTGGGATACTGGCCCACTCCCCAAGCAGAAAGAGGTAACCCCAAGATTCTAAAACCCAAAACCACTTTTTCCCCCCTCACCAGTGGAAATTCCGATCCTTTTAATGCCATTATTCTTTGCAGAGAAGTGGTGTTTTGGTCAAATTTAAGGAAAATGTGACTCTCTGGGTCAAACTGATGTGTATCAGCTGCAAAATTTTTTTTTCCAGGTACTACAGATTGGATCTAGGGCCTTTGTACTGAACTATATCCCCAGCCCTTTTTTATTTTAAGCCTGGGTCTCGCTAAGTAGCTAAATTGCCCAGGCTAAGCGTGAACCTGTGATCCTCCTGCCTCAGCCTCTCAGAGTGCTGGGATTACAGGTGTGCACCATCACACCTGGTAGAACTATGGATTTAATTTTTCAGCTTTGCCTATGAAAAGAATGACTTCATAATTTAAAATTTTTTTTAAATTTTATTTTTGTAGTTTTTTTTTTTTTTTTTTTTTTTTTGAGACAGAATCTCACAGTAATTCAGGCTGGCCTTGAACTTACTATGTTACCGGGGCTGGCCTCAAACTCACAGCAATCCTCTTGCCTCAGCCTCCCAAGTGCTGGGATTACAGGCATGTGCTACTATGTCTGGCTTCATCGTTTTTATATCTAAATCCCCTAAAAATTCAATTTCCTGTGGTCTTTAGGTCTACATTGTATTTGTTAGAGATGGGACTGTGGGGTGAAGTTTGGCTGGGCATCTCCCCCACCACACCCCAGCACACACGTGCACACACAGCACGAGATCTCCCTGCGGTGGGTCCCAGCAGGTGGCTTTGGCAGCATGGTCCCTGAGGGTGGGATTCTGGGCGCAGTGGTCCCTTCAGCTGTGATTTCTGTTCCAGCTGCCTGGCTGCGAGACGGTCCTTTTACCCTAGAATGTTGGGTAGCACACTGGACAGAGCAGTCAGCAGGGCGCTGCTTCCTGGGTGGCAGCTGGGGTCCTGGTCCTGTGTGGGTTTGGTTCCTGCCCCCGCCCCCACGACCTCCCCCGTGCAGCTCCCCCTCTCCCCAGGGACTCTGTCTCTTCCCTCCCGTCCCCCAATTCCTGCTGCACCCCCATCTCCTGTCCTCTTCTTCCCTCTTGCTCTCCTCCACGTTCCTGGCTCCCTCGCCTTTGTCCTGCCTGTCTCCTCCCTGCGATAACCGGGATGCCTGTGCTCTCTCGCTCAGTTCCCGGGTTCTGGGCCGGGAAGGAGGAGCCGGACCTGAAGCCAGAGCCCCCGGGAAGCGGAAGCAGCGTCCCGGGCCTGGGCTCAGAGGGCCAGGCCACGGGGCTGACGTCGAGCCAGGATCGGAACCCGAACCTGATCCTGCGCGGCGGGATGAAGTTCTACGCGTGCAAAGAGTGCGGGAAGCTCTTCCGGTACAACTCCAAACTGCTGCGGCACCAGGCGAGCCACAGCGGTGTGAAGCCCTTCGCCTGCGC